ATGGGTATCCGCCAGGCTCAGATCCAATCTAGGAATGTATGTACAATATCGGAGCATATTGATTGAGATTCAATAATCGATGTTATGTATAGTGTGCATCTATCGTAGGTGGAATAGAATTCATCCACGCAGACTATAAGGCCCTTGTCGAAACGCAGACGACATTTTCTATTCGTCCTCCACAGCAAGCTGCAATCGCGCCACATAATCCAATAGGTATTACTGATTTTTCCATCTGATTTGAACGACGAATACCTACTATTTAACCATACCATTCCTTCGGGCTGAATAGTTGATGCCCGAAGTCATGTTCCAGCAGCCCGAGTACAGTAGACAGCTCTCACCGTATGTATAGTTTCGCTACTAAACACACCAACGTTAGTCCCCCCCCCCTCCCTAACTACCAAGCATATAATATACTGATCGATTAACAGAGAAACAATATTTGTACCATCAAAATACCCTTTTATAATATCACTAGTGCGTTCATCTGCGGGCCAACTACCTTTAAGTATACGAAGTACATTTCACAATGATTTCAGTTTCGACCCCGATATAAATAACCTGATAATTTTATTACGTTTCGCTTATCGACTGAAGTATAGTGCAATGTACACGTGCAATTACATACAATACTATACATACGTATTCGATCATTTTAAGATGGACCCCACAATAAATCGGGTGTTTTATATAGTAAGTACGACTTATGTATACTTAGTATTTAATACATATACAATATACACGGAGTGATCCATAGGAACCAAAGCACTCATTATTTCAGAAAACGCTAACGTTTTTGAAAATATTTCTTTTACTTGATTACTGTAGTTCGTTACCAAACAAAATTAAAGTTTAGTTGAGCGGACTAAAGCATACCTCTCTGCCATTTCACTCTGATGATCAAAACATTAAGGCTTAAATAATTATAACTCATAAACTACTAGTTAAAAATTAAACTTTTATATTATATGGGATGAATCAAAAAGACCTGAAATGAAAAATTATCAAAAAGTTATTAAGTTTTGAATTAATTGACTCCAAAAAAATTATAAAAATAAAGTAGGCACTTGACTTAAATAAACATTTTACTATGAAAATGCTCATAAAAATTAGATTTACAAATTGGCCATTTTTAAATTATACATAAAAAACTTGAATTAAGACACAAAATGTTTATTTTCAGTATTAAATATAAAAATTAAAATGTATGCTGTACTTGTACCGCAAGCATCTATAAATTATATTTTTAAAAAATGTTTAAATATTAATTAGACCAGTAGTAACTTTATCAGGTTATTCTGTACCACATTTAATTAAAAAATCTTGTTTTTTATTAATTTGAATGTATGTTAAAAATAATATTATATTATGTAAATATAATAAGAGTCTCCGTTAAATGGATCATCCGATGTATCATGTGTACTATACATAAATAATAATAATACATAATATGTATGCAGACATTGGGCCGTACTGTGTATTCCACCGTGTTTGTCCTCGTTAAACTCATGTATAATACTCCATCTCCTGTCTAAGAAATTATCAACTATTAAAATATTTACATAAGTCAACAGTGCAAATCAACTATCTCATATTTTTAAGAAACACGAAACAATAATTACATTTTTTGACACGAACATGTCTTTGTCTGTGAATCTATCTGAAATTCGTAAGACTCCATTTTTGTTACAATCATAATGAGTAACTGTGATGACTTTGATGAACACGTAAATAGTGTATAAATAGTTTATATTTTGTTATGTTTGCTATCAGTAGCATCACGGGACATAATTTGTTGACACATACCTACCATAAAGAACGAATTAATAATATACAGCTCTAAACAAAGTTATTATTTTTGTTTCCTTGCAATTTATAAAAGGCATAATAATAGTATGTTTGTGATCCAATATTCCAATGACTTTCCCGACGAGGGATAGAATTTTTATTTTGAATTTGGGTAAGCTAAAAAATATCACAATTGTTGATAAGTTAGTATTACCTATTACATTTATTTGATCTCTGTGAAATACATATTATACAGTGCGAGATTGTTTTCTGAGACCGTGTTTCAAAAATATGAAGTAGTAAAAAAATGTCGACGGGAATAAACATATCTACACTGTATAAATCGTGAATAGTTAACACATACCATTATGCTATATACCCACTATATAGACACATTCACTTACAGAGATAGGTAACCAATTTATGAACTTTACACTCCGTTTAAAATATCCGTTTACACGGACGGTGTTACTTTATAATATTATATTGTTATCGTGTTTGCGTTTCCGTTGGTATTTTTCATACTGAAATATTATCATTACTAATATTACAGTGTTTGCATACAATAAACATGCAATGGTATTACCAGTATGTGTACTGAATTCGTTGTTATGAAACGGCTCCGATAGAGTCACGAATGGCAATATTATATTCCCTACGTATATAATAGCATTATTATTAATATGTATGCCGACGGCGTTCGGGTACTTTTATCGCCGCTGTGCCAATAACACCTGACTTCGAGTATCAACACATCAGCCGCGAGCACGGACACCGACACTGACCGACGGCACGTTTGATGCATCGATGTTTGCCTTTTCCTCTTCCGGAGAGGCACACATGTATAGGTACCTATATCATCTCGGTCTTGACTCAGAATCGAATTACGAATATTTCGACGTTGTGTATACCTACGACGATATTTGCACATGGTACACTACGTGCCCCTTGGTATGCATGGACGCAGAGGCGTGCCCGGGATCGAAATGTACGACCGGCCCGGTTATACATTTTTTCATTTATATACCTAGGTAGACGTAGGTACATATTATTATTATTATTTTTTTTTTTTTTTTTGAAACTATTTGAAAACAGGGTGGGCCCGGGCATGGGCGGTTTTCGAACCGCCTCGGCTAGCTAGGTTTTAAATTATTCCATTTACTTTTCTCGTTTACTGGTAAATACCAAACACGAAAATCCACGTAGGTACACGGTGTGTGGTCGCATACGATTCAAAGTGCGAGGTTGATGCAAAGGCTGCTTTTTCTCCCGCACACGCCTTTGCACTCTGCATAATGATTGATGTTCGTTTCGCCGACGTATTAGTAATATTATGTACTATAGCAGAAACGGACGAGGAACGGTAAACTATGTTTATCATCCCCACGGTGATTTCTATTGACACGGTTTTTCTACATCAAATGAATGAATGGTTGGTAAATCATCCGTCCATATATCCGATTCACATTGTAGAGTCATGACAACAGATCAATTTTATTACACACCGTATTAAGCAATATAGTAACACACGCTTTGACACGTGTCATGTTTTAATGCTTTGTAGTTATAACTTTATAAGTTACAACCTATGCGCATTGTATGTAATATTTTATAATATATCATGTATATATGTGTATATCCTACATTTAATAAGATTCTTAAATCGGACTCAGCGGAGTCTTCGCTCACCAGTCAGAATCTCATTATTAAAATTTACAATTTAAAACCGGTGTTATCGACGGGGAGACTTCTTTCATGTTTTTTTATAAGGTTTTAACACATTTTCTTGTTGCATATATCCATAAAATATATTGAAAGTAGTATTATGGAAATAATAAAAAAAACTAAACCGATCGCATAATGATAGAATTCAACAATACTGCATGTTTAGCAAGTCTCGGTTTCCTAGATGGTGTTTTTTTAACATTTTAATTGCTCACCAATATAATTTAAAAGCAAAAAATATTCTTTAAAAAATATATCTTCACTGAATATGATTTGAATAACCTTGTAATGAAATTGCAAACCTTACATCCTTGTTTATTTAATACCTGAAACAAAAAATATAATTCAAAAAAATCTTAAAGTTTCATAATATATTGTGACATACAGTTTAGTCAGGAAATGAAATACTTGAAAAATTGATAATTTCTCAATATCTTGAATTATAACAAAAAAAATAAAATGTTTAGATACATCTAAATCGTAGTAAGAATTTAACTAACTAACCTTATATTCAAGTTCCAAGTAATAAAAATACCCACACACAAACTTCGACAATTTATCAGAAGATAATATTCAAAAACTACTTAATTTTATAAAATAAAACACAGTCGACCCAATGCACAACAAAATGTTGCATATTTAACTATTCAAAATAAACTTGTGTTTTATTTGTTATATAAATTAAAGTTAAAATTGTAGATTTTAAATAATTTTTCCGGTTTTAATGAATATTAATTATAGGATTTTTTAATCTGTGAAGTTATTGTGTTACAATCATATGATTAAAAGTGAAATAAGATTGATTAAAAACTTGAAGATTATTAACCAAGTATTATAATGTTATTATACCAGATAAATCATATTCTTGGTCAACAGATTTCTTCATAAATATATACAAAACAACTTCTGTTATTCTTTAAAAACATACTAAGGAACTAGCTATGATTGTTACTCAATCGTGTTTATTTTATTTTTCTATAGACAATTTTAACTAGTGTATGTTTCAGCGGCATTCTTTCAAGAAAATTTCGACGGGTGTGCAAAATTATAGAATCACATACCTAACTTATATACCTTGACCCGAGAGTCATGTTCACAATTGGTAAAGATTAGGACTTAGGATGACTCTATAGAAAGTTTGAAACAATCAATGAAATTATCCTTATATATTAGTTTATAATGTTTTTGTAAACCTAATGGGAATTATTGTTTTTTTTTTAAAATATTATAATCGTTATTATTTTTTACTATTATTTGGCTGCAAATTATGATGGTAATAACAATGATAATAATAATAAGAAGAACGAAAATAATAATTCTGCTAATATACAAGGCTAATAAACTCGTTCACACACGGACGAAGTCAGCTGCCTTCCGGTACTCTATACTCTGGGTAGCTGCGTAGTTGAGTGGTAGCAATGTGGAGGACAGTTGCCAAAAAGGTAGGGGGGACGATGCCTTTGTGAATCCAATAAAATGGACGTACAGCACACAATTGGTCAATGTGTAACCGGGCTCCGTGTCAAGCATAGCCCTCTGTTGAGCATTCAGAAATTTCCTTTGACTTCGCTAAAATACACACGCACAATATGATGGCCAATATTATGAACATTGCCTGCTGTCTTGTGTGCGTCTTTGGGATCGCTTTAGCCGCTCCAACCGCTGTTAAATTGCGTGAGTATTGAACATAAATCCAATACGAATAATACAAAATCTAAATAGTTTTCATATTATATTGAACTTAAGATTTTTTAATTTAAAAACAATTTAAATTCAAAATAAAAAGGTACAAATCGGTTGGGTACCTCCAAATAAACAATTACACTTTTTTACATATTTTTAATTTCTCAATAGATCGTTTAAGAAATAATTTCTACTTAAACTCGTAGGTTCTTTCTACATTTCGCAAGACTTTAGGATTAAATTTTAAGATATTAAAACATTTCAACGGTACGATTATGGATTATCCTCGTACAGAAATAAATCATAACATTTTAGTTTTTACAATTTTTTTCTACAGTGATACTTACCAGTATGCAATTAAAGATTTCATGCGTGTGCAACTGTAATTACTATCAAATTTTAAACTTATAGAGCTAGTAAATTATCTGTTGTTCAATTATAATTTAGAATATAAAGTTTAAAATAATAGTAATTATAATAATAGTTACAACAAAATATAGAAGTGTTTGATTGAGTAATAATTACAAAATATTTTTTCGAAAGGGCTATATGTTCAAGATCATTTAAATGTTTAAGCTATAAAATCTAAATCATAGGACATCAACTCCTTTGAAATTAACACGACCTGTAGTTTTATGCACGCACATATATTGCGTAAAAAAACAAGCTAATTCACTACACTCATGTGAAATAGTAATTGATTATTATCATTATGAAATTATCCTCTAAACACATAGAACTAATATTTTTAGTACTATCATGTGTCAAAAACAAGACGATTAGATAAACTAGAATATAGCCATGAAAACAATATATTTTCATAAAGTATATTAAAAATAAGTTTTACCTATTTTTGTTTAAAACACACTTAAAATCCACATACATATATTACATATTTTAAATAACTAATTCAGTACAACATACGTGTGATTAAAAAAAGTAAATAACAAGTATTAACAAAATATATAAGTCATTGGTTACATTATATTTCAATGTATGATTAAACCAAGAACAATTCAATATGATAGTGTTGAAATTAAAATTAGCTAAAAATTCCCTGGTCATATTTTAAGATAGATAAATATTTTCGTGCAATATCGACGATGCTGACTCACTGAGAAGTAATTTTATATAACATTTGTCATATCAAACGTATAAGGTTTTTCAAGGTCAGATGAAATTATAAGTTAAACTATTTTTTTAAAAATATTATTAATATTATTATACTTTCTTTTATACACTGGTACTCTATATTGTAAAATATGTTTTTGTTAATAAGTAACCACGGCAACGAAAACTTTACGAGAAATCAACCAACATATGTATCCAGGCATACAACATATTTATGTTAAACGTTAAAAGTTTTTTTCAACATTTAAAATAAAAAAATAATAAAAGTATCTTTTTACTGAACATGCGCTTAAAAAAAATGTACATATAAATTATAAGTATTTATATTTATTTAGTGAAAAATCTTTAATTAAACCAAATCATTTAAATTTTAAATTTATTTAGAACAACGATTTGACAATTATTCATTTTTATTGGAATAAAATATATTATGAAAAACTAAAATAAATTATTTTTTTCATTTGATTAAAGGCTTCAATTACAAATATTATTAGCCTAGTGTTATTTACAAACTAAAAGTATTTATACAATATTAGGAAATAGAAAAATACAATAAAATAAAAAATAAAACATATGTTATAATGTTATATACAGGAGTATTATATTATCTAAAATAAATTGTATCACTATATTGTTTATTCAAATGGAACCTTAAACTTTGTTTATTTAATTGTTTGTATTGATTAATCATTATTCTTATCATAATATTATACTATTAACTATTTAACTACTATAAAAATAATAAACAATTTATACTTTTCAAAATAGGTAATTTTTTTTTCCATTTTATTTCCGCAACTTAGGATTGTATTACAAGGTTACCGATATTTAAATATTTTTGAGTCTTGACATACATTTATTTGTGACGTTCAGCCCCCTTAATTGTGGTATATTACTTCAAGGTTCCCAGGTCAAAGTCTCTATAGTTAAATACTAGAAAAATATAATTCGACATCATAAAAATATATTATTACATTTTTAAGATTATATAATCACCCGAAGATGAATATAAATAAATACTTCTCCACAAAGTTATAATAAAAAAAACATGAACTTTTTTTTAGAAATAACATAGTCAGAATAATGTTTTTACTAAAATATCCATTTTGTGATAATCAATTATTATATGCACCAATATATCTGTGTACCTAGTATAGTATACATGTATACATCCTATTACATTAGTATACGAGTACATCCGAATATGAGGTCCACTTAATATAATATATGTTCATTTTGTCAATATATTTATAATCAAATACCTGCACAATATTTTACTATTTTATTTTTTTATATACTAATTACTAACTAATATTGCATCATTATGATAATTTTTATTGTCATTAGCTTATTGTTTTTGTACACAAACAAACTTTTATTTTCATTTAGTCGATGATTTTTCTTAAAACTACAGAACAGAATATTTTTTTTTTAAATGTCGAACCTCCATGTCCAATATGAACATATATCTACATAATATATTATAATTGTACCCTATTTTTAGTTAGAAATTGGTGTGCTCAAATGCAGCAAATAAATCAATTACATTTCTGCACGACTTCACTCTTTTGTACATTAGATAATATAAATTTTTATATTTATATGTATTAACCTAACCAAATGTTTTAATTTATATTTTAGCAAAAGGTTTTGTACAGTGCAAAAAAAGCGACCCGAAGTTAAACGAATGTATAAAGAATTCTCTGAAAAAGGCCGTACCACATTTAGTAAAAGGTAAGCTCATATTATTTGTTTTATATTTTGTTAAAATTGAATTTTATATTTATTCATTCATTTTAGGCGTGCCTAGTTTGGGAATATACCCAGTTGATCCACTTCGTATAACGCAATTGGGAATAGACCAAGGTACTGGGCCCGTCAGCATCAAGCTCAACTTCAGGGATTTAGACATATCAAACATTGGGACAGTACAAATTGATGAAATCTAGTAAGTGTACACAACATATTTTTTTATATAAGCGGACACAAAAAATGATTTCTGTGATTTCAGTGCCGATCTGGATAACAATAATATTACATTGGACGTACACTTCGACAAACCTATTACGCTCGATGGAAATTACGATTTCAAAGGCAAAGTTATCATCCTACCAATTATCGGTGACGGTCTCTCCAAAATTAGCCTTGGTATGTACACATATTTTTTTCTTTTTAAAATATAAGTCGTTAATTTTGAGCTTTATTTTACAGACAACCTCAGAGCCAAGATAAACGTATATTTGAAACCCGTTGTAAGAAACGGTAACACCTATGTGGATATTAAGGACATTAAATTAACCTTTACCACAACCAGACTCCATTTGAAGTTGGACAACTTATTCAAAGGAGACAAAGCTCTCGGTTAGTAAATTTATTACGACATAAATTTTTGTATATTTACAATAAAGATTATATGTATATGTATATATTATATGTATATGGTGTATAAAGTGTAGGTGTATTAACATTTTGAATTCAATATTATAAATTAACTCTATAAGACTCTGAACGTTTGTAAAATATCATATTTAATATTACAGGAAACAACATGAATGTATTCCTGAATGAAAATTGGAAAGATATATTAGCTGAACTGCAAACCAATTTTGAGAACGCCTTGGCTGCCGCATTTTCTGGAGTTGCACAACAATTCTTTACTAGAGTACCTTACAACCAAGTTTTTCTTGAATAGAGCATTAGGATTCTTATTTATATTATCTGACATATATTATTAATTTATTTTATATATTTTTTTTTTTTTTACCTCGTGTTAAATAAATAAACTTCGAGTATCAACTCGATTTTGTAATAATTTGTTTTATTTAATTTCAATCTCAAATTATTGTACTTTAACATCACCAAACAAAATACCAAAAATGTATTTCTACTCATAACATGAAATTTTAAAGATGAAATCTAATAATAATAATGTAATCTCTCTAGACATATTAATAGCATCGAAATATCACAAATGAGTACCTAAACCATTAGTAAAACTAGAAACCACTAAATCCTTATTAGTATGATATGAAATGAATTTAATATGCCAATAACTATCTAAATATACCCAAAATAATAATTGGATATAGACTTATAGGGCATGTGTTCATATGTATATATAATATTTAGATAGGTACCTACCCGTTATAATACTTAATGACCGTATATGGTCATGTGTATATAAGTTGAAACTTGAAAGCTCCATTAAAGTCGATGAAATTCTAGATTGATTGAATATTGAGTTAGTAAATACTAACTAAATTCATTATTCTATTTATTTTTCAAAGAAACAAAATATATATTAAATCTATAACATATTATAAAATTATATGTGAAAACTGAATAGGGTAAACATAAAATAGTGTGGCGCTGTAAGAACAATAGTGATTGTCGATTTGTTAACGCTATCTTCGTGTTAGAATATTAAAACTATAAACTATTTTAAGCCGTGGTCATCTTACATTATACTCTCTATAATAATCTTATAATATTGAATTCAGGTCGATTTTTTAAATAAAAGAATATAATACCAACACGGCATATTATTAAACGATATGTTTCCACACAAAGAATTCCATAACAACTATAGCTACCACGGTATTAACTTGCAGCCTATCTGCAGGTATTTAAAAAATAAATCCTTATAAGTTATATTTCACAGAATACATTACTTATTACTTCTATAAAATAAATGTTTATAATATTATAAATTATCCTATTTATTTATGTTTATGTTTGCTATGTTTACTTATGACAATGTCTAATATTAATCGAATTTGTTTTTCAATAATTAATATGCCCCCTTTCTACTTTTTATTTTAAAAAAATCTTATCTGGGAAATAATCGTCACTTTGTGACTAAAGTAGGCCCAGAGTTCTCAAATCTAACCACCCATCCTGAATGTTGTACCGTAAGGTGCTATTTCATCCCCAATTCTCTATAACATATGCTCCGCTAACCAACCTACTCCTTTTACCTCAATAGCCGAATTTGATGATGACAAAATCATTTTTACTTCTAATGACAACCTTTTTGTTGCCAGACAACGCTTGCAAAATCATCTAAACGACACGAAAATATGGTATTCAAAATGGGAAATAAAAATAAACAATGAAAAGTCTTCACACCCAACTTTTATCCTCAGACAAGGCGTAGTTCTTTCGGTTTCTCTGCCAAATAAAATGATACCACCGGTTACTAATGTCAAATATTTGAGCCTTATCCTTGACAAACGGTTGGCTTGGACCGAACATATAAAATAAAAACGTCTCTCACTAGACTTTAGACAAAAATATCTGTACGCGCTGCTAGGTAAACTTTCTAAACTAAACCTAAGTAATAAATTGCTGCTTTACAAAACCCTTCTGAGACCCATTTGGGCCACTTGGTATAAAATAATGGGGACCTACAAACAAATTAAATATTTACAAAACATAAACGTTCCAATCCATATCACTTCGTATAATTACTAACGCACCCTTCTGTGTATCGAACTAGTGTGTAATACTCTGATCTTGAACTACCTATTGTGATGTGGCCACTTCCTCTTACAAGCATTTCCGCTATGAACCATCCGAATCCACTAATTCTTGCACTTAACTCAGCAAACATTCCTGGTAATCCACCGAGAACACTTAAAAGGCACTGGTGTCACCATTTAAATAGCTAAACTGGTAACTTAAATAATATTAAATAAAACAAGAACAAAAAATATTTAATATATGTATTAGTATTACGTATGTAAAATAGCCTAACAAATTATATTGTAGAGTGTTACTGTAAGGTAACCCTCCCTCAAGCATTCACTGCCAATAATATCTTACGAGCATATGCTTATTGTTAACATGTTACAGATTGTATAATTTATTCAAATAAATGTTTAAAAAAAAATTATATAAAATCTTTTTTAAGGTTTTTTTATTCCATGTCTCTCGTGAAGGTATATTTGATATTGGATAAGAATCTATTTTGACTACCAATCGAATATTTGATAGATGTAAAAGGTGAATAGCATGTGTTTTTGTCATTTCTGTTTTTCATGCGTGCGTATAGTAAAATAAAAAAATAAGAAAACGGTTAGACACGTCTTATCTTACATTTCTGAAGTGTTGAAGTTGAGAAGGATACGAATCATTTAACCAGATTTTCACTAATATTAAATCTTGAATTCGTCATTTTGATCTTGCATGCAACAAGAAGTGATTTCTGAATTCTTTGATTGAAATTTTTCAGCAGCAGGGATGAATTCAGGGGGGGACAAAGCCCCCAGACATATTATTTCTCCAGTTTTTTTTTAAATTCTATAATTACTTTCGTACTATAATTAGAAGCATAGATATAATGTATTTCTATTAGGTACACAGAGTGTCGCGTGAAGATATACCCATTAGCCGTAGAGGGGGACTCGCCGCCAGTACGAGACCCGGTTTTTTGCTGTTTTACCTATTAACTAAAAAAATTGATTAAAAATCAGGAGATTTTTTTTTAAATTTTTTTTTATAAAGTATGTACAATCTGTTCCTTTAGGGACAATAAGAATATGTGATATTAGAAAATATTTTCATGAAAACGTGATGAGAGGAGTCACCCAGTGGTTACACTACGCTTATTTGATAATTTTTTTTTTTTTAATGTATAAATAGCTACTTTAGTTATTAGGAGATTAATAAAATTAAAATGTTGAAACGTCAATATTTGCAGAAAAATGGACTCTACAAAATGGCCATCTTCAATTTTTTTTTTAAATAATTAATTTAAAAAATATATTTTTTAACATTTTTACCGAAACATAAAAAAAAATTAAAACATGAATTATTTGTAATGCTTATCTCTGTGAGTCTTAATAAAAAACCAGAATTATGATATCTACATTATTTCAGGAGATATCGCAATGAGTAAATCCTCACGGAACACCCTGTATGTGTTTGATAGAAACTATATGTATAATCAATAATTTATTTATTATATGAATGATTAAACTAAAAAATGCTTATCCCCTCCCCAGATCTATGCTCTGGATTTGTGCCTGTTCAGCAGTAGGATTTAGGTCTTACTTTGATATTGTTGATAAAATCTTATTTACACATTTTTTTCTAACCTAATGATGAATTGTATGTTTTAATTTCTTAATAATTATTAATTATATAGTAAGTAATTTAGGTTGATAGTAGTTAAAGTTGATCAAATAACTAGTCTAAGTGGCTTGTACCTACATGATTTATAATGTTTATAATAGTTCAGCATATTATTTTTCATAAACTAAATTTGCCAAGTCTCATCACTTTTCAGCTATCTAACCTTTACTTAATCCATACTAGAATTAAGTATATTGCATATACACTGTACACATAATATTTCTGTAACTTGTAACAAATATAATATATACTTTTTAGTTATAACCAATACAAGGGATAATTTTCCGTGGCTAATTCAAGTTTTTTATACCAACACCTACATTATAATAAAATTTTTTTATTATTTGTTTGTTAATAGGTGTATTAGCAAAATAGATTATAATAGACCTATAAAATATAAAATAAATAATGACAGTGTTATCACAACGATATCGCACTGCTAAATAACTTTTAATGTTGGCAGGAAATCACAATAAGTAATCACAACATAATATACGGCGAGTGAGAAATCAAAATTGTACATACTTTAATCATTAAGTGACCAAGCAGTTATTCATACAAAAAAGACAGAGTAATATTAAAACCATTAAATATAAACGAAAAAACTAAATAGGTACCTAGGTGAATTTAACTTCCTCGTTCTTGTTCTCAAACTTCAAAGTAAATTATGTCACGTTGGTAGGTAGGTAATTCTTTACTATAAACTTACATTATAAATAACATTTTAATATATTATAATATAATTACAGCAAAAATAAATATTGTATTTTCGTTGTACACACTCATGTCTACCATTGCTATATAAGTAGGTATTTACGATTTCTAATTCTAGAAGAGTGTTATAATTGCAGTACCTGCCTATACCTTGAATCTCTCCATAGATTATGACAATATCTGTCTTATTTCTTAGAAACTAAAACTAATTAAAAACATTATAGTAATTTAACAATAACGTTGGTGCCTAACTCATAAACATACACTCAATCATGCAGTGTAGAATCTTAAAACACCAACTTTCATGATGTCGTTGACAGTTTGTCATTTTCACACAATATAAACAAGTTTAAAAGTAACACCATAAGTAATAATGCAATATTAAATTAAGCTATAAGTAAGAAGAAATATTATTTCATGATTATCTAATTTATTATACTAGAAGCCAGAAGGTATCATAATAATGTAAATCGAAAAACGTGAGTGCCCCATACACCGAGCAATGAAATGTTCGTTACATAGGTATAACTTAGCAAATTTAAGTTCATTGACGATAGTAAATTGTAAGTGATGCAGAAAGTAAACATGATAAATTGTTTTCTACAAGTATTTATACCAATAAAAAATGACAAAACTGATACGGTCCAAAATGTCTATTGAATTCTGCGGGCACCTCCACACAGCAGACCTGACTCCTCCATTCATTACGCAACTGGGTTCTACTAGAGTTGGAAATAAGAGGCTTTCATTTTTTTGGAACAGTAAAAATACTTCGCTTTTCAACTTTGACGGTGGTTTCTGGTGGAAAATTGAATCTAGTTCGTCCTTTTAATTAAAAGTAAACAATTTTATTATATTTTCATAATTTTATACACAGTGACACTTAGATTATTTTTTATACTCTTACCTATTTATAGCATGGAACTATTCTCAGAATACGCCTGAATAGATTCAAAAACGAATAATGATAATATTATATGATTCAATAAATATATACTATTTTAATAAATAATAATAAAATAAATGAGATGTGTTTGGCAAAAATCAATTCAATTTACTGTATTACTAATTGTAAAATAAACATTACAATAACTGGAGTTAAAATATATCATTAAAAAAATACTTAGTAAAATAGGTTGACAGACCTTCATCGCTTAGAATCGATTTTCGTATGCAACGACACCTATACTGTACAGCAGATAGATTACCTACTTTCCCCCTTTTATTAATTTCAATATATTTATTTGAATTTTTTTATGGGTTACTGGTAGACATTATGTGCTAACATTGCATATTATGTAACTATAGTAGTAAGTAAAAGTCACGTGGTGGGGAGATACATTTTGAACGATTGATTTCGACCGGTATCAGGTTTATAATAGGTACATGAGAATGAGTAGGCAACCAAATTTTTTTTTAAATCAGACAATATCTTACATTTTTTTTTGTAAATTATGGTAATGGAGAGGCCGTTAGTCATATTATACATCACATTAAATAAAAATTCACTAAAATATTTGCACTACATCAAGAACAACTAACAAGGGTTAACAGACATTCCAATTAATTAATATACTGTACCTACCTATATATTTACTTACTTATATAGTAATGTATAAAAGCATAATATATTATTTTCAGTAGCATTGTTTGGAAAAAAAAATAATAGTCTTTATAAGTAATAATAAAAAAAAACGTAAACAAATTCTAAGAAATAAATATATAACTACATAATGTACTAATGTATCTACTTAGTATTCTGCATTTTATGTTCAGCAATATCTCATACAAATATATTTATTTCGGACAGTGTAATATGTACTTAGTATACTTTGCTCGGTACATAAGTAGTTTATATAAACGGATGAAATATGATAATTCCTAATAAATATTTTACATTGCACATATTTCTATGATAAGCAAATATTTAAATGATTGAGTTCTGGTAATTTGTTTCAACTGTAAAATTTTACAAAAAAAATGTATTTTTTTGATTTTTATTGTATTTGTATTCGTATAATAGATACTTGAACACTTCTTAAGTGTTTAAGTATGACAATTTAATATTTTAAAAATTGAATTATTATATTTATGAAACTCAATACGTCATGTATAATGATGTACAGACAGTTTAGTTATAAATAGTTTTAAAAAATGTCCAAATCCATTAGAGTCGAAGTAAAGTTAAATTATATGATTATTATGTGTTTTTCATTTTGATTAGCACGATCTAAAACCATGAGAAAATGTGAAATAATTTTCTTTATGCGCAGCAATTTTAAAAATATTATCATTTATGTAATTAATAATTTATTATAAATAACATTTTACAAAACTATCTGTTCTTAATAGTAACTAGTCACAAACAAATTAAATGGGTTATTTAATTGTATTCTCTGAAAATAAAAAATATATATTAGTATAATCAGTTCGTTATAAATCATTCTAAAGCACTTAATGATAAAGGATAATTAAAAAGACTTGCAATGCTTCTGTTGTTGTTGAAATCTTATGGCTTCTATTGTAGGTAGAATAAGGAAGTATTTAATTATAGCACCTATTTTAAGAATGTATCTCTTTTAATAATTACTCAATACCTGATGCTTACTATAACTACTAAGCATAGTTATATTGACTAAATACTATTATTGTAAAATATACTGAATACTATTTTATTTTCTTATAATATGTTTACCTATATTTTTAAAAGTCACAAATTACACTACAGTTCCTCGACTAGGAATGTAAAAAGATTTTCAACTGCTGTAGAGATACAGGATTTTTAATAATTATTGTACTGCTATAGCTATAGTGGCTATGAGAATAATGGTATGATTATATTGGATATAAAATATAATTACGTTTTATCCAAATATCCGTCTTCCTGGACATATTATATTTTTAGTTGTCCAATTTCTGAAGTCACCCAGCCGAACTGAAATAATAATCATCATTAATAGAACCGGACTGGCGGGTGTACCCGTGACAATGAAACACAATACATTTTTTGTAACTTATAAGGTCAAGACGTGCATGCCGATATAATGGCAGACACACGCACTCGGCGTTGGTGGGTCAATATGGGTGGGTATAGCTACTCGAAAAATCGAAAGTATATTCTATTGTATGTGTATATACCTATATAGTATGTATATAAATATATCAGATCTCTGTCGACGGTCGGACATCAGTAGATCCAAGTTTGTCGTCGAACGGTTACATTTTAATATCATTTTTGCACTGCATGAATGAACACCGCCCGCAAAACATCATCATAATAATAATAATATTTATTTATCATGGCTGTTATAAGATGTGACGTTGCGCTGGTCACCCTGTGGTGTCTGCTGTGCGCGATTTCCAAAACGACTCTATCCTCCGCATCCGTTGTCAAATTGCGTAAGTTGAATTTACCACCATGCTGCACGTTCACAGAGCTTCTATCTGCCCTTACCCGCATTTGCATATAATTAGGTACTATACCTACCCTTGCTCAGCTTCTCCTATAATATGTCTGTATTACATTATATCTTTCCATTCTAAAAGTGGGATATTCGTAGTCCAAGACACCGTCACCCGGTCTGTCTCGAACACATCTTTCATATTTTCAACGACCGCCGATGATTTATTTATAAATTCGTTCATTCCATGTCTTATACCTATTAGATACTAAGATTTTTGTTGTCATTGTTTTCAGCCAAAGGATTCATTGCGTGCAAAAAAGATGACCCAGGCGTCAACACGTGTATTCAACAAGCACTGCAAACAGCTGTACCACATTTAGTCAAAGGTGAGTCAAAATTACTAACTACAATCTTTATACACAAGTCATATATTTAGAACATATTTTGGATCATTACGCTAACATTATAATATTATTTTCTATATTTTCTAAACCGTGTTTTTTTATCCGGTTGGACAACGACAATTTACCGCACGGAAAAATGTAAAATGTTCGTAAAAAAACCAGAAACTATTCAATTTTGCTATCATCATAACTTTTAACAGCGATATACATTAATCTGGCTAAAAAATACGTATCTTGGTTACGGATCGAACACATTATTACATATTTTTTTGTATAGCAGTTGTTATCGGTGCATACCAATGCATTTAAGAGGTATAACTTATTTAATTTCAACACCTTATAAGATATTAAATACACAAATATATCTGTGAAATGCTCAATTTGAATATCAATGTTTAGAAGTAAAAAAGAGACATGAACTATCAAAATTCATAATCTTAATTAACTTAATTCAAGTCTTACTGAACCCATACATATAAACATTTAGTTTAAAAAAAAAATTATTAAAAGCTCCAGGTTAAAAAGTTAGGTAATTTTTTTATGTATCCTAGATGACACATTTCCAAGTTAAAATTACTCTAAAAATAAAATATATGATTTTATTAGAATACCTGATAACAATTTAGTAATTAAATTACTAATAAAATTAAATTTGTAATAATATTAGTTTTAACAATTCAGTGTTAAAATTTATATTTATAAAATCAAATTATAATCATATTAAATTAAATTAACTCTGAAGGTAGCATTATATCTCCTAACTCCCAAGATACACTAAATTCAATATAGTTTATATAAAATGTGTTGTAAACAATAACTCTAATAAAGTATTATATTATTATTATCTAATGACTAATATTTATAATTTATACAACTAAGTTCTAATAACTATTATTATGAACAGGCATTATATTATTGTGTTAAGTACATAATTATTATATTAGATTATACTTAATTTTTAATCATCAATTTAAATAAAGCAAGTATATATTTCTAAATATTGATCAAATAATATAACAATTAATGTAAATTAATATTTTTTTTTAACATTCATGCAACAGGGTCATTATTTTATATGTTATTTAACAAATCGAACAAATATAAAATAAATTTGCTATCAACATTCAACTAATATTACATAACATCAGTAAAATACAGTATAACGTGAATGAATAGTGTACATTTATAGAAAAAACAATATATTACAGTATTACACAATTAATATGCTGCTAACCTTTTAAGTATGTTTAATTCGATTTCGATAGATGTATATAAAAAAAATAAAAAACATGGCCATATTTTAGACTTAAATCTAAAAAAAAAACAATACAGTAATATTTTTTCTGCCGTCTCTCTTCTCGTCCTTAAAATTTACCTTGCGCTATAGAATTCGGTCAGCATAATAATGTAAAGACATTTTCAATAACTTGCGTCAACATTAGTCATTGTTCGATCAAACAATTGGAATATGTTCAACACATTTTTTAAACACAAATCGAAATACGGTTTGAGATAATCAGATTCAAAATGGCACAGATAATGAGTTAAATTTCATAAATGTTCAGTTATAATAAACCTAAATCATCATCTAATTATGAATATTTTTTATCATTTTTGACAATTTGAGAACATTGAGATTGTTATCAACAAAATGTTTTTTATAAGCCCTTGAACCTAGACTCTGGCCGCACTGATAGCAATCAATATGACATTTTTTATAGCCTTGAACGCCGGAAGACTTAGACGGGTACGTGATGACATTAGCATGGTGCCCGTTAACGTAATGTGGATGGAATAACATTATACCTCCGATTTCGGGCCTTCTACCCGCTCTTCTACCAAAAATTTGCAATGAGCTAGCTACGGGTTAACACATGGTTACACATGGTAATAAACTAATAAATTACAAAGATGTTTGTGTTTTGAACTTGACCATGAACGAAGATTTTCAGCGATGTTCGTGTTATTACTACTAATAATGACTCGTAACTGTGGCAAAAATTTAAAGACCTGTGACTGTAAACAGACAAACAGTATACAAATGTTATTTAAATTATTAAATTATGAAGCAAATACTATTTGAATACCCCTAAAGCCTAAATCATAATCAAACGACATGTTTTCCTTACCGAATAAATTACTTATAATAGGTGCACGTTAATACTTAATAATAGTGGTCGTCATATATTTCCAGTTGGATGGCACAACATAACAACATACCATTGTAATAACAATATGTATATTATAGTACTCGTAATACTTGATACTAATTTCAGTTGAAATTTTCAAACCATTTTGTAGTACCTACTACATATACACAATCTGGTGGCTGAATAAATTCTGATCATATATCACAGTTATAGATTCTCAATACGGATCAATTAATAAATATCATATAGATATGTATTATAATATGATTTGTAAACAATGTGAAAAAATAATACTCTAAAAGCCTTTATCTACCTCTAAATATTTTATAATTTTACTTTTATACCACATAAATAATACCTAGTACCTAGGTATAGTTGTTATATAGTTTAAAAATAAAGATAATTGTGTTAAATATACATTGTGGTATATTTGTTATACCCTAAATTGATATAAGAACCAACAATGCTCAGTACAATAATTTCAAGCATAGGTACACAATACACACGCTCATAGTATTAAAACAAAATTTATAATTAATGTAGGTAATGGTTGTATTTTATTTATAATAAAATAGTTATTTTTATACGTACATAAAAATTTGAAATATATATGATATTATATCAAACAGGATCCAGAAACCTGGTAAGGACACTTACCTCGTTAGCTCGCCTCGCCGCAGGGTAGTATATATTTATTGGTATATTATTTATAATATAATATAGTATATATTATTACAATGCAATTATAAATTATCACATCCGAAAATGTATTCTGAGTATACCTAAAAAAACCCACATTAAAGAGAATTCTTGATAATTGTTAATAGTTTTTGATTACGCATAATAAAAATTACTGCCGGCAAATCAACCTCATCCACCTCTTCAAAATACTTAATTGATTAAAGTGGTTCATAGATTTGTTTCATGACACGCTTAAGCTAATTAATTTGCTTTGCTCAGAATGTAAAAATCAAAAAACCTTTCAACATTTTTATATTTAAATAAGTACCTACCTACAGTTAAATATATTTGATATCAAAAATTACTTTAGTTTACATGTCTGCTAAATACAATACTTTTAAACTATAAAATACATCAAACGGTTTGTTAAGTTAATTTGTTATTAACTGCATAGCTTTTACTAATAAAAAAAAATTAACACAATTCAAAAGTTAAGCCAACTATAAAATTATAATTCACTAATATACAGAAATATTTTAAATATTATTGAATGATTGCTTAAAAATATTTAGCTCAACAGATGAATTTACCATTTCTAATAGATATATAGTAAGCGAACCGAAATAAAATAGTTTTTTTATTTTTTAGGAATACCAAGTTTGGGGCTAATACCAATTGATCCTTTAATAATATCGCAAATGGATATAATTCAAGGTACATCTAATGGTCCCTTAGACATCAAACTAAGCTTCAAAGACCTTTATATACATAATATTGGGTCTATTAAGATAACATCAATGAAGTAAGTTTTACAAACTTTCATACAATTATTCTTTACCTAACTTTTAGGTGCTGAGCAATGCCATGAATTTATTGGTTTTACAATGAAATAACTTTTAATGTGTGTGTGCATATGTTTAATTTTACCTTTAGAGCAGTAGAAATGCTTATAATTTATGAACTTAATGCATCTTAAAAACGTTGAGGGTGGTTTCTGCCGTTTCTGGTACCTAGCAATTAGATTTAGTTTGTCATTTTTTCAGAATCAAAAGGACGCGAAAGCAGTTTTTGACATGTTTTTTTTTTTATTTTGTTCAAAAACGAATAACTCTGGAGACTTCAGTTTTTAACAACCATATTACTTTATATTATTATTTATATATTAATAGGCATAAATTTCAAAGTATTATGATTTTTTGTAATATTTATAGACCGATAAAATGGTCTAGCTTTTTAGCTTTTTTCAGATGTATGCATAATACAATTTTAGTGCTTGTTCAAAAACCTTGAAAATTTATAATACATTTTTCTAACAGCAAATTTCAAAATCGAAAATACTTTGGTACAATTTTTTTATAGTGAAAGTTGAAGTTCAAATTTTGATAAAATTTGACAAAAATAACGGTTTTTGTAATTTTGTTGTGTAATTTAAAAAATATTATTCTTAGAGGCTTGAAATTACTCATCACTACTTATACTTTTATCTACTAAACACTGTACAATTTTCAAAATGTAAAATCTAATATAAATTCACATAGTTCTGCAATACGTAATTTCTCTTTATTGGCTCATACATTTATAACAGATATAGTAGTTTAGTAGTATTAGGTATATGAAATAATATTAAAGTTATTATTATATAACGTATGCTGGTATTTGACATTGGAGAAAATTAACTCAATATTAGGTAGCTATAACTAATTATAGCAATATAATAAATAGGTAGGTGCCTGTATAATAAAACATCCTTAGAAATATAGGCTGACAGACGGTCTCCGCTCAGAGTCGTTTTTCATAATATGCAATCAATTATTATTGAATTCAAATTTAATTACACACCTATTACAGTGACCTACTCAATGGCTAGGTACATTCGAAACCTTATCTATTGGTATAAGCTCTCTTTTTAGTTGAATTATATAAGTAATAGCATCATATGGATGTGTTCTTGTGTTCTTACAGATCGAATATAAACAATTATACATTTAATCTCAAAGCCGATTTTGATGAACCACTTGTACTCGAAGGCATGTACAATATACAAGGAAAAATTATCATTCTACCGATAATAGGTGAAGGAAAAAGCAATTTAACCCTAGGTATGTTTGTTGACTATTGCGCAATACTTATTATAAATAAATAACTCAACTGACAACTGATAACAACAATAACTTAAATCTACATAATTTATTATTTTTCTTAAATTTTAGCTGCATTGAAAGTATCAATTGACATAAATGGTAAACCAGTTACAAGGAGAGGTGATGAGTATATGGAATTAGAATCTTTAGAACTAAAATTTAGTACATCAAGACTTTATATACAGCTAGAAAATTTGTTTAATGGAGATCAATTATTAGGTTTATATAATATATTTTATTGTGTGCATGTTTAGTGTACTGCATAATTAAATGCTTGATTATTTATGAAATAATTATGTTTAGGAAATAATATGAACATGTTTATGAATCAAAATTGGAGGGAAATTTTGAAGGACCTTCAACCTGCATTTGAATCAGCTTTAGGGATGGCATTTCAGTCAGTCACTCATCAGTTTTTCCACAAAGTACCATATGATAAAATATTCAACTAAATAGAATTATATTTCTTAGCTATTTTTATGTAATAATAGGTGTGTTAATATTTATATATTTATTTAATTTTTTACGGTTGTTTTGTATTATATAAGTGCTGTTTTAGTAAAAATATCTCAATAAATAGAAAAAATTAATAAATATACTGTTTATTTTTACTTAGAACCTAGTACGAATGTAAAGTACTTTAATAAATTAGTATATAAGATAATTTATAAGTAAATAATTAAAACATCTTAAAGCTGATATTAGGCGTATGAACAAAATGAATGAATAAGTAATTTACTTACTACAGTTATTAAAACAAATACTTCATCAACATTTTTTTAAAGTGCAATGATTCATCATTTGAAGCAAATTTAACACAACTATTATAGTGACCTACTCAATGACTAGGTGCACTCATACCTAGTAAAAACAGAATGAGTTTTCCTATTTCTAAACTGAAGTTTCTCAAAAATGTCTAATACCAATAAAATACATGTGTTCTGACTAAAGATTTCTATTGGTTTAGTTATCTATCTCTTGTTTCTATTATTTTAGTAAAAGTATTCATCAAAATATTTTGAAAAATCAGTAAGTTTGTAAAAACAACCTTGAAATTATAAATTAAATCCATAATATTTTTTAATTTATTTACAAGTAGGGAAAAACACTTAGATTTTAAATTATAAAATACGAGGAATTCGCATACCTATAAAAATTAAATACCATAAACTATAATGAGTGTTTCGCAAATTATTACGGATTAAGAGGTACAATCTGATAGTATTTAAAATTTAAACTAAAAACATTATGTCGTAAATAGTATTAGATAGTAAAGTCGGTGAAGGTATATAAAGATTGGTTTTAGATTTACGTAAGATGAACATATAAAATGTGTACTAATTCTGAATTCAAGTACTAATATTTTTTATAACTTATTTCAAATTACCTACTCATTTTTTAAAGTGAAATATCTTTTATGAGGAATCAAATGAGGTATAATAATTAACTATTGTTTTATTAGTATTTTATAAGAAAAATAAATAAATATAACTAGACAGGTACTATTAGCGTGTTAATTAATAAAGTTTATGCCACATAACCTCAATTTAAGTATTCTTCTTTTGAGATCTTCATTAATAAACAAGTTCACGACTATTGTACCTATTAATAATCTACAAAGACATCATTGTTTTTATGAAAATTATTAAGATTTTCAGCATAAAAAGTGTTTTTCATTAATAACTATAAAATGAATTGTTTTTATAATTTGTTTTAAAAAACAATATGTGAAATACTTCAATGTCCACATAATGAATCTAAATAACTGGTACTTACATTATTCAATTGGAATTCGGAACTAAGCTATAAATTGTCATTTAAAACTTCAAATGCAATATTTTTTATCAAAAAAAAACTACATTTACATTATGATTTACAATTAATTATATTTTTATATTTCCTACTACCAAAATATGAAGTATAAATTGCATTTATACAATCTTATATATATTTAAATTCAGTATAAGTATCTCAAAATCTAATAATTGTTATCAAGTTAAAAAACATATATTCTTAAGAATTAGATAAAATAATAAAATATTTTTCTTTGTAGCGATTAAAATTAGATTAATTAAAATTACAAGACAAATTGTATACTATTAACAGCAAAATAACAAACAGGAAATTATACATAGGTATACCTATTTTAAAAGTATACTAGGTGCAGTTTTATTATAATGTATATATTAGTATATTACCATCACGATCACTCAAGTGCAAAATACCAGTTATTCATTACATTTATAATTAATAACTATAGGAAGTGTTCTAATAATTACTACCAGATACTATATAGTTACTATTTAGTTTTAAATGTATTCAAAGTAAAAATTAAATAATAAAGAGAATCTGAATTCACTAAAACTTAGTTCATAATACAATTCGAGTTTCATAAATAATTTAGATTATTTTCTCACTCTGCAGTAATTGGCTATTCAATCTTAATTATAATAATATTTATACTCACCATAGTCCATTAAAAGCGATATTTATAATAACAATTTTAAACAGTTTTAAAATTTAAAGCAGAGAGTATCTTGATCTTTAGTTTTTCATCATATTTTTCGTTTATAATATTGTAATATCAAAAATTATTACATTTTCTTTTCGTTACCAATTAAAAAAAATATGTATAGGTAGGTTTATAGTATAAGAAACTCAATGGATGGTAGTTACTATATGAATTATAATTATTCATAATTTCAAAATCAAAAACATAAAAATAATTATAATACCATTATTACATGTGGAGTCTCATAATAATATACTGTCAATTTTATACGTAGTTTGTTTGTAAATTGTTAGTGCTTATTCATGATTACAAAAACAAATTAATTACGTAGGTACCTAGCTAAGTATAATTATGTAGGAATTATTAATCAGCACGTGTTAAGAATTAAAATAACAACATCGCTTTGATAAAATATGGAAATTTGTGAGAACATTCCTTAAAATAATTTGATTAAATCTGACCAGTTGTTCACACTCGACAGTGTAGGTACATGATTTGAAAAAAAAATATATTTAATTTACATCTAGTAGGAACAATATAAAATAACATATTTACATCGAGGTATGAATATTAATATAAAAGTAATTACACAATTCACACTATAAAATAGTCTCAAAACTAATCAATTGTCAATCGACTTAATTATCAATTTGGAGTTTCCATATTATTTTACATATTATTATGTAGCAATATTTTCGTATAAATAATCTACATAATATATGAAATATTAGTTAATGTTTTTCTGTTTACCCTCTATACTATAGAGTCAAAAATGACTCAACCATGGTCCATGGTTCATGATCAATAAAAGTTATACCAACAGATTCTTTGATATTCAGGAGGTGTTTATATAACTCATTTGTTCAATCAATATAGCCTATAAGTTAATATAAGTCACACATGAATTTAATTTTGTTCGTGAAAGTTGAATAGTATTTGTTTATTTTAATGGTTGCCATTGGATATAAATTATATTACTGTATTATAACTAATAGAAATATAGTATATAAAAATGTTTACAATTATCCACATTTCAAAAAAAACCCGTCGATCTCGAGGGAAGAAAAGTAGAACATAACTCGTGATATTTTCACTTCAGGGAAAATGTATGAATTATAAATATATTTTGGGATTTTTGGAGTAATTCGAAAAATGCTGAGTAGCATACTATGTTAAGTTAATGTTTACTTAATTACAAATAATCAAAAAATCTATAACTTTAACTATACTATTTATCATATTAGATAATCTATTCATTTATTTTTTCTATAAAAGTTATAAGAGCTTAATATGATTTATACTTAAATCAGTTAAATCTATTATGGTAAACAGAATTACTTTTAGCTTTGAGTTCCAACAATATATTTTTAGTTGTATCTGTTTCCATTTTGTGTGTTTACATAAAAATATGCTCAGAATTAAGAAGTAGAAAATCATAAAATGAATCGTTGTAGTCGTGTTAGTACCTATTACCATTGAGTATTACTTACCTATATATAATTCAACTGAAACAAAATGGAAAACAATAGAAAGCTAGATTAATTTTACTTCGGATAAAGTCGGGTAACACAGCTATGGGTAGTAATCCAAACAATTTACTAATTTATCTGATTATTTTTAACTCACTATAATAATGTAATAAGAGACACATGTTTTTAAACTTGAGGTATTACACTCATCCCAATTTTAGGACACTGAAGACCGAACCATATGCAACTATGAAAGAATGAAGAAACTATAAAACCATCATGATAATATTGATGTATTATATTATGTAGATAGTCTATTATATTACGGAGTACTAAAACTTTTATGGTCCTCATTGGCAAAAAGAATATCTGTATGACTGTGTGCGTACTTCCCATTTACTTAAAAATTATAATTTTGAAAAAACTATTTAATTTTAGCTGCAGGTACTACTCAGTCATGATCGTATTTGAATAATAATTATAAACATTTTCAATTCGGAAACTAAAACTTAAAAGTGTGTTACTAAATACCCTAAAATTAATTTAAATGCCATTAAAATAAGAGCTTGCCTAGTTGCCTATAATATTAATATTACAAGCTACATCACTTATTAAGTAGGTAAGTATTATACATTTGTAAGGTATTACAAATTAAATCTCAAGGATACAGGTGTTACATCTTACATAGCATACGTAGCATTCGAATACTCGTGAATACTTAGTGATGACTGATGACCATCATCTATCGAATTTTCTATGAACTATTGTGGTTATAATGTTTACCAGTAGAGAGCAGCACTAAATCATGATTAATTAAACATCAAAAAGTATCGGATGAAGTCCAGGATCAATAAGTACAAATAATAAGTTGGCGATCGAAGGGAGATGCTTAGCCTCCTAAAAACATTGTCATATATAGTATTCTTGGCAATTTTATGTTTAATTTTTTACTTTAGTCTTTAATACAATTTATTTCTACAAAACCAAAATAATAGTGATTAGTTATTAACTTATTACTGATTACTGATTATTGATTATTCCATTATGGTGTATAGTGTATGTTTATTGAATAATATTTTACGTTGAACTTTACCAACTATATTACCTATCTATTAGTCAGACCAGGCATCTATTACTAGCTGACTCTCAGAGCAGATTGGAGAGGCCATCATACTTTAATAAATAATACACTAAATATAAAGGTTATATTTATAATAAAATTAATTATTTATTTTATTTACATATTATCAGATGATAGTGAGTGTGTATTCTGTTTGTTAAAAATGACGGTCTGTAAATTTATTAGTGTTGTAGCCCATTTTTGTTAATATTTGCCTCCACATCTCTATTATATTCTATGTTGTCGAATATTTACGCCTAATATTTTTTCAGAATCTCCGGCCCTCCGCCTAATATTATGTAAATTCTATCTCAATTTCACAAAATTAGACAATTAAGTCAATGACTGCGACAGTGCATATAAATTATACTTTCATGTCAATAATACAAGACTGAATATGAATATATTATAATATGAGTAAAATTGA